ATGGATTCCTTTGCTCATTTCACTTGCAAAGAACCGTACAGCACAGCCAGAATGTGTAAATATACTGGTATATACCAATCAATTCCCTATATAGACCCAAGCAACCCACATGAAAAAGCTCACCCAGAAACCTATATTGTTTCACCCTTCCCATTTTCAGCTTCTAGTAAAAATACAATGTGTTCCTCTTAGATCAATCCCTGAGAAATGACCTGGGCTTTGAATGTTATTTGATGGGAGAAGATTTCTTTTTCAAAAGTGAGATGCCTCAGTACATTGTCAAATCAGAATAAGTAATCTATTGGCACCTTGGGAAAACTGTCCAAACAAACACTTCAGCCAGAGAATCCTCATCACAGGATGAAAAAATAAACAAGTTCATAGCTAGATACTGACCAATTTCCAACAAATGTATGTCTTAAAGCAATAAAGCATGTTTTATGTTCAGCTAGCATTACAACACCCCAATATTTACTTTCTACAAATGAAAGTAAGCAGCAGCAGTAATCTAAAAGAAAAGAGTAAAATAACCGTTTTCTGTTATTAAATTCAAATGGAAAAAAACTCCTTTAGTTCAATCTCTCAGCTAGCACCATAAACGACCTTTTCTATCTGTGTTTGAAGAAAGGCTAATAATCTCACCTTTGCTTATTTCCTGTGTATCTGGCACATGGTTTTTGCTTTCTGGTTTCAAAGAGACAATGCTGGTACACAATGTTTGTTTTATTTGAATGGGATCTGAACAATGATGAATATATTGTTCAGATCCCATCCAAGGAAATGAATATAACACCTTAAAAGATTGTCTCTTGTATTGCTGCCAGAGAAAAGGCTAAAGAAAGTCTGTGTGTTCCTAAAAAATGTAACCCACCTTATTTAAAATGTGTAAATCAAATGAAGATGGCCATAAATCTATTTCATTTGGAGAGGTCATTCCACTCTCATGAGGCACATGCACCTGTCACCCCAAATCATGACAATGTATTTAGTCTCTCTTTTTGGGTTTAGAACACTCCACAGACTAGGGAAAATCCTGTCATTGTTGAACAGTCCGAATAACTAGGTTTTGATAAAAGGAGATCTATGAGGGCAGAAAGAAACCATTCTCATGAAGGCCCTGACCCTACACCATTCAACTCAATGGGAGATTTCCCATTGACTTCAATGACTGTAGGGTAAGAACAGACTGATATTATATCCCCATGGCTGCTCTGTTTCCTCCCTTCAGGGGAATGGCTGGTGGATTCAGATAGGACTAATCTGCTCTGCCCAAACTCCTTCACTTTTCTGATCCTGCATCACTCCTGGAAATATCCCACGCACTGGAACACAAGCAGCCTCCAGGAAGTAAAATTGTAAAAATGGCATAGTGGTGTTTCATGCTTACACTCATCTATTTAACAAGAGTGTCCATTTCAAATTTGTACATTTAGAGTTTTCAAAGAAGAATTTTCTAGTTCCCAGCCCACAGGTTCGGTTTGGTATCTGAAAAATCAAAACTTGGCTCTGGACTCTGAATCTAGCTGGCTGACTTTGTGGTTGACGTATGAGTCAGGCAGCTTGCTATTCTGCAGCTAAATAAAGCTGTGTTACACTGACCATAGTAAAGCTTGTCTTTCTCAACAAAATAGATAGATACATCTCAGAAGTAGATGGGCACAGTATTTGGATGCTGCATTCACAGCTACTTTTATGACTATAGCATTTAAAGTAAAATCAAGTATTTTAGAGAGTTTTTTTGTAAACTACATTACCAAACAAAGCATATTCTAGATACATATTTGCCAATTTAATTATGAGAGCAAATTACACCCACTGTAAGAGGAAAAGAACATTACAAGTTATATACTATACTTTCCTATTTTTTCTCTCTAATACAGTATATATACTTCATGCAACTATGTTTATGTGACATTAAAGAATACATGCTAGGAAGTGCAGAAATTAAGGTTCCAATTAACTTGATCCCAATATACATCCTGAATATTTTGGGTATACATTTTATTCCATAGCAGTATTAAGCCTATAGATTTATCTGGAGTGTAGAATAGGAGAATGACTGTATGGGGTGTGGTGGGGCTGTCAGTGAGGAAGACACATAGAAAATTACATTTATGTGCAATGCAATCTTATATAGAGCATTTCCTGAATTTTAACTGAAAACTTTGTCTTAATGTATGATTTTATACTTGAAATATTGGTTAGGGAACAGAACACAAGGTCTTAACCCTGCTGTTCCTGCACCAGATTATTTCATTTTACTTTTATACGGATTATTTTAAAAAAATCTTAAAATAATCACTTTTGAGACTATGTGCAATCATCAAGAACCAGACATGTTTGGGTAAAGTATGGGGATGCTGGAAGGAAACACTCTAAGCTCACTACAGACACTGCACTGTGTGGCGATGATAAAATAGTGGTGCTGTTGTGTGCTGCTAAGTACTGGCCAGTAGGTTTGGCCTATATGCCACCAGACATTGCTTCGTGAACCTCTCACTTAATTCTGGGCTGGCAAAAATGACATGACATTTGAGTTAGAGAGGTAGTAGTGTAGTTGATTAACCAATAAGCAAAAGCTTATAGGTTAATGCTATAGATTGCACGCCAGTAAATTTTTTAGCAGGCTGGCCAGCGGCCCAGCTCAGTCCTGGATCACACTGGGTTCAGAATCTACCCCCGCTGAGGCTCTGCATTTAAAATGTATTACGAGCCAGGGGACAGGCTGTGTGGCTCAGTTCGGCTTGTGCCGGGCCCAAGAGCTCAGCCCCTCCTCTGGACAGGGGCTGCTGGTTGCCATCCTGCGCTGATACAGAGGCAGCAGCACAGAGTGTCCAGGGGCTCCTCAGAAGTGGGGCCAGACTGCACTGGCTGCCGGCCCTGTCCCCGGGCACTATAGAATAGTTAACTAACTGATAAGAGTTCATGAGGTTAATCGACTATTCAATTAACCGATATTTAACATCCCTAATTTGAGTTAGCCCCATTCTAATTTTGAGGAAGAGCAGCTTTTTGAAAAAGGGGGAGGGTTGCTGAAAAACCCACGTCCTGACTACTTTCGGGGAGCTTTCAAAAGTGAGATAGGAAGAAGATATGCAAATTCCTGTGGAATTTGCATATCCTCTTTTGAAACTTCAGCGTAGCCTAGAGAGAACCTTAGTGGCTATACATGTTAGCCACTAAGGGTAGGAATAAATGGTTAGTTTTCAGAATGGAGAGAGGTAGCTAGTGGTGTCCCCTAAGGGTTTGTACTGAGACCAATCCTATTCAACACTTTCACAAATGATCTGGAGAAAGGGGGCAAACAGTGAGGTGGCAAAATTTGCAGATGATACCAAACTGCCCAAGATAGTTAAAAACAAAGCATACTGTGAAGAGCTTCAAAGGGATCTCACAAAACTAGATGATTGGGAAACAAGATGGCAAATGAATTTTAATGTTGATAAATACAAAGTAGTGCACATTGGAAAAAATAATCCCAGCTACACATAAAAAGTGATGGGAACTAATTTAACTATAACCACTCAAGAGAGATCTTGGAGTCATTGTAGATAGTTCTCTGAAAACATCCATTCAATGTGTAGTAGTTTGGGATGTTAGGGATGTTAAATATCGGTTAATTGAATAGTCGATTAACCTCATGAACTCTTATCGGTTAGTCAAAAAAGCAAACAATTTTAGGAATCATTAAAAAGGGGATAGAGAATAAGACAGAAAATATTTATTGCCTCTATATAAATCCATGGTATACTTATACCTTGAATACTGTATACAGTTGTGGTGACCTCATCTCAAAAAGATATATTGGCATAAAAAAAGTTCAGAAACAAAATCAACAAAAATGATTAGGGGTTTGAAATACGTGCCATATGAAGAGAGAGAAACAAGTTTGGGATTTTTCCACTTAGAAAAGAGGAGTCTAAGGGGATATAGGTCTATAAAATCATGACCAGTATGGAGAAAGTGAATAAGAAAAAGTTATGTACTTGTTCCCATAAGAACTAGGGGTCACCAAATGAAATTAATAGGTAGCACATTTAAAATAAACAAAAGGAAGCACTTCCTCAGACAATGCAATGTCAGCCTGTGGAACTCCTTCCCAGAGGAGGTTGTGAATATCAGGACTTTAACAGGGTTCAGAAAAAGAACTAGATACATTCATAGAGGGTAGGTCCATCGATACTTATTAGCTAGGATGGGTAGGAATAGTGTCTGTACCCTCTGTTTGTCAGCGGCTGGAAAAGGATGACAATAGAAGGATCACTTGATGACTACCTGTTCTGTTCACTCCCTCTGGGGCATCTGGCATTGGCCACTGTTGGAAGGCAGGATACTGGTCTAGATGGACCTTTGGTCTGACCCAATATGGCTGTTCTTATGTTCTCTAGGGTGCCACAGGGCTACTCATTGCTTTTAAAAGTTACAGACAAATGCAGCTACCCCTCTGAGAATTTTAGGCCTTTTTATTCAGTCTTGGAGGCTGCAGGGGAAAAAAACCTACCCTCAGACTACAGCTATCTGCTCAAAAAAGTCAATCCATTCAGCCTGTATGCTGACAGTGCTTAATGACAATAAGGTTATGACTCCAGAGCACTTTGCATACCCCAGACCCTAAGTGATTAAATTACATTCAAATAAATTAAAACTGAACACCAATACCATTCCACCTCTCTCCAATTGTTCTAGTTTAGTGGTTTATCAGAAAGATTTTTATTCAAGCCTGGTAACCTATCTTCACTTTTTAACAGGCTATTGGCTGCCTAGTTATAAGTTAAAATTATCTTGGGCAACTGGACTGCATATATCAGCCATGTATGGACATCTGGAGAGTCTCATGGTACTGTTAGATCACAAAGCTGCCATCAACTACAGGCCAAATGGGAAAGCTGCTATCCATGTGGCATGTGAGGTAGCAAACGTTGAGTGTCTCACGATCCTTTGTAACCACGGAGCGAAAATTAACTGCTTTTCACTGAGTGGCCATGCACCCTTACACTTCTGTGCAACGAAGGCCTCTGTTCCCTGTGCCCAGCTGCTCATCTGGAGAGGTAAGTCAGACTATAACTTAGTCAAGGACTTCTGAGGTATCCCTAAGGTGTTACAGTTTCATGACAGTAGCAGGATTTTAACATTCTGTATTATTTCATCAAGACACAAATAATCATATTTCATGTTTTTATAACCTCTTTGTCCCCTAGTGCTTCGCTAATGGTGCGTATAGAGTCCCACTGAAACAAAGCCAACTCAGAGGAGGGCAGCAGTTCAGCTGCAGAACAGAGAACAGAAATTTCAGTCCAGGGCACCAGAGCATACCCTTCCTCATGCCAGAAGTGGTCTTTATGCCCACAGAGTAGGCAGGCCTCTGCAGTAAAAGTAAATGCACACAGCTACAATGCGTGCTGGCATTTGTATATTTGATAGATAAACTGAGAGTATTTTTCATTTGAGTTCACCCACCCTGAAAGCCTTTGTCTTTGTCCTGAAGTTACAGGTGTGTGTGTGTGTTTACTTTATTTAAAAAACACGCACAAGCTATCTTTGAAAAGCATTATTAAGGTTGCTAAGTCAAATACTCAAAAGTAAGGAAATATCAGAATTAATGTTGCCTGAGCAACGTTATTCTGGTCGCTTTGTACATATGCATTATGATACAATCTATCATTACACAAAAAAACCAAAGAATAGTCTGGTAACACTTTAAAGAATAACTAAACATGTAGATGGCATCGTGAGCTTTTCTGTGGGCAAAACGCACTTCTTCTGATGACTGGAGTATTAAAACTCCAGATCCAAGAATAAATAAGGGAAAGGTGACGGGAGCAGGGAAAAAAAGGAGAAAAAAGACAGCGAATAAATTGTTCAGCTGTGTCTACACTGGCCGCTTGAATTTCCACAAAAGCACTGACGATCTCATGTAAGATTGTCAGTGCTTTTGCGGGAATACTATGCTGCTCCCATTAGAGCAAAAGTCTTTTTCCGAAAAACTTTTGTGCAAAAGGGCCAGTGTAGACAGCAGAGATTTGTTTTTTGCAAAAAAGCCCCGATCACGAAAATGGCGATCAGGGCTTTATTGCTGAAAAGTGCGTCTAGATTGGCCATGGATGCTTTTCCGCAAAAAGTGCTTTTGCGGAAAAGTGTCCTGCCAATCTAGATGCGCTTTTCCGAAAATGCTTTTAACGGAAAACTTTTCCGTTAAAAGCATTTCCGGAAAATCATGCCAGTGTAGACGTAGCCTTCAAGTTATAAGAGGCTGATAAGAACAGTTACCATCTCCATTGTTTGTTTGGTTCAGTCATTAGGTAGTGTGCCAGCCAGCAGATGTCTCTGTCCAACCAACCAAGCAATGGAGGTGCTAATTGTTCTTATCAGCCCCTAGTTAGTCTTTAAGGTGCTACTAGACTATTGGTTGTTTTTAAAGCTTTTCCAGTTACAGACTAACTCAGCTACCTCTCTGAAGCTTTTTATCATTTCACAATCACAGGTTCTCTGTCTCCTTAAGCAACTTTTTGGGCTTGAGTTTGAGACCCCGTGATGATAGTGTCTTTTGCAACAAATGACATTAGCGTACTGCCAACAACACTTCCTTCATTTCCCACCTCTGACTGCTGGTCCACAAGAAAGATAACAACCTACTACTGCTCTCCGTACTTTGTTAACCCAAGTGCAGAGTTCTACGTAAGGGATCTAAAGGTTTCAGCCCTGCTAATAACCCCATGTAGGTGTTAGTATGATGTCATGTTTGTTCTTTCCAGTTGCTTTAAAAAAATAACTTTACACACATAAAACTACATTAAATCCATTTTTAAAGTTGCAATGTCAAACACGCAAAAGTTAGAAAAACTTGAAAAACAATTAATGATCCTGTTTCACTTGAGAAACTAACCAAAATATAGATACTATCATGAGCTTTTGTGGGCATAGCCAATTAGGAAATGGCAGAGTTCAGATTGTCTGTGTATATGCATTATAATACAGACTTGAATTGCATTATCACTTTTTGTTAACAGGATCCCTGCTACATTCAGTGCACAGGATCAGCTTTCTCTAGAGCCGTGGTCCCCAACACGGTGCCCGCGGGCGCCATGGCGCCCGCGGGCACCGTGTTGGGGACCACGGCTCTAGAGAAAGCTGATCCTGTGCACTGAATGTAGCAGGGATCCTGTTAACAAAAAGTGATAATGCAATTCAAGTCTGTATTATAATGCATATACACAGACAATCTGAACTCTGCCATTTCCTAATTGGCTATGCCCACAAAAGCTCATGATAGTATCTATATTTTGGTTAGTTTCTCAAGTGAAACAGGATCATTAATTGTTTTTCAAGTTTTTCTAACTTTTGCGTGTTTGACATTGCAACTTTAAAAATGGATTTAATGTAGTTTTATGTGTGTAAAGTTATTTTTTTAAAGCAACTGGAAAGAACAAACATGACATCATACTAACACCTACATGGGGTTATTAGCAGGGCTGAAACCTTTAGATCCCTTACGTAGAACTCTGCACTTGGGTTAACAAAGTACGGAGAGCAGTAGTAGGTTGTTATCTTTCTTGTGGACCAGCACTAAAGGGAAACGAGACACCTTGCCAAAGAGTTTCACAGATATTTTCTGCCAGCAGAGACATTGAGATTTAGGTTTTTGTTCCAGGCTCTGGAGGCGAGAATGCTCTACAGGCTAACACAGGCTGTTATAACCAGGGCTCGCCGAACCGCAGCGAGCTCCACTCACCAGCTGCGCTGTCCAGCGATCTGCACATGTGCAGATGGTTCTGCGCATGCACAGATCACCCTAACTTGGCTCTTCCGGGTTGCAATCTATTCACCATGGGCGAGTAGATTGCATTATTTGTCGAGCCCTGGTTATAATCATTCCCCCAAACGTGGTCCTTTCTACACTTTCCTCTCCAAACTATTCCTATCCCAGTCCTGTCTCATCCCCATGCTTGAATTCTCATCCCACTCATCTTCTCCTCTCTTAGCCACCCCATTTTCTATTCTCAGATGTCTCACCTTAGTTCCAGTTTGCAAAGCAAATTCTAATTTTGCCTCCCTTTGCACCCCCTTCCCCCCAAATTCCCATCCCAGTTTTAACCCATCCCCACCCAATCCTGGTAACCTTACTTAGCCTTTTCCAGTTTCTCCCATCTGTCATCTACATGCACCCAGTATCTTTACCCAGCCAGTTTTCCTCCTCCTCCCATCCCATCTTGGTTTGCCCTCACAGCCTCCACTGTCCCTCACTAGGCTCCTCATCCAATCTCAATTCCTGCACTGACACCTTGTCCCCTTCTCTTTGCAGAGGCAGTCCCACTTCTCCCTTCACACCCTGCTTCCTCCTCAGACCAGTCTTCCCTTCTCTCCCACCTCCTTCCCACTGCCCCACTCATGCCTAATCCCTGCTTCCTTACCCAGCCAGTCAGTCTGCCCCCTTCATCCTCAACTAGTCTCAATCTACAGCAGTGTTTCTTAAATTGTGTTCCATGCCGTGAGGCAGTCAGAGGTGTGCCACAGAGCACAACAGAATTCAAATTGGCCACCCTTAAAGGGGCAGACGACTTTTTTTTGCTCAGTAACTTTCCCCCTGAACCTTTTTTTCCCCTCAATAACTTCCCCCCGAACCTTCCTCCCCCTGACTTTTTTTTTTTTGGCTCAACCAAAAATCCTTGGTGTTCCTCATTAAAAAAAAATATTGTTTGGTGTTCCTTGGTCTTAAAAAGTTTAAGAAACACTGATCTATGGCACAGCCAGTGTCTCCCTGTTGTCTCCCTGCCCAACCTGTCTTCTACTCTGCCCTGGCTCCCAGACCTGAACTCCTGGTCCAGTCAGTCCCAATCTCCCCTCAGTTCCCAGTCTCTCTTCCTCCTTGGACTCCATGTCTTAATCTACGTCTCACTCCCTAGCACCCAGTCTGGCTCCTGTCTTCTCTGCATTTGATTTAGGCAAATTTTCTCTACCGTCTGGCACCCATGAAAGACAATGAGAGCACAGAAGAGAGACGGGCTCCCTTTCAGTTCTAGTATCTGGACCGAGACCCACAACGGCTTGGAGCAGCCAGAAACTGCAATATCAGAGAGAACCCTGCTCAGCTCCCTGCAGCTATAGGCTGGAGCATGCTCAGTGCTAGCAGAGTCTTCAGGAAACTAAGTTGCAAAGATCTAGTAGTAATTAGCTACTGAGCATGTGCAAACTGTGATTTTTTTAAAAAAATAAGCTTTGGCCAAAATTGGGACAGTTTTTACAAAGAGGGCAGAAGGCCCATCTTGACACAAAGCTCCCCCTTCCCCAAATCTAAAACCTTTACTGAAAAGCATGGGAATGCTACAGCTGCTACAATAAAAGGTCGGTGTGTTTTTTTTAACATGGGCCAAGCCACATATTTTCCCCTGGCTTTGTACTCAGAAATAACTAAACCCTCAGGCTGAAATTTTCCAAAAAAACATTCTGCTTGAGACAAACACTCAGCATGGGAAATTTCAACCCAAATGCTTAATGTGTGGCAAAGTTACAAGCAACTGAAAACAGGGTCTCATCATGAAAAGAATAGTGTAATCTGAACAACAGGCAGTGCTATCAGTCCCACCTACAAGCAGAATCATGGCAAATGCAAGCTCTTTGGTTTCATTTGCTACATATACCATTACTGCAGACCTTGCCTTACACTGACTTCTCAGAGCCAGCGTATGCCTTCTGGGCAAAGCAATTATGATCCCAAATAAATTACCGCACCACTTTCCTTCAGCCGGAAGATACCTATTATATTGTTTAGTAGAAAAGAAAATGAATGCCACCAACTTCATTCTGCCTGAAGCGAACAACCCTCACTGTAGACGTTAGATTCACTACCACAGGAAAGCATAAAAAGTCAAATGTGCTCTTGCAGATGCAGTGTAAGATTCATGTAAATGGAAGTATGTGGTATAAAGGCTTTCTCCTCCCATTTATCACTAACATCATAATACCTTAGAATTACAGACCCACCTTTCTTCCCAAAGCACTTTAGAAATGAAAACTCCTTTGCAAACTTAATATCGGGATCCCACACACAATG